ACATTTCAGCTTTCATTTTCATTTAAGTCAAGCCTGTTTTGGCACAACTTGATGTGTCATATTTAGAGATCGACCGATATATATTATATATATATCGATATTTTTCCCGATATTTAAGCATTTTACAATAATCGGTTATCGGTTTTGTAATATCGGATTCACCGATAAACGCCGCCATCTTGTGGATGTTTTGAGAATTGCGCGCAGGATCACCATTGCAGCGCATCTGAGGGGAAACAAGGCAACAACAACGGCGTGCACAGGTACTTGATTTACTGTAGTAAGTTAACTTTATTTAACATAACAGCCATTAATGCACAAATTAGATGTATTACATAAATGCCTGTTATGCAGTTTATGCAGCTTGGCTCGAAGAAATAGAGATGAACGTAAAATAATCCGTCAAGTCCTGTCCCAATAAAGACATAACTTCGCATGAATTAAATAATATGCAGCCATGAATGGGCACATGTTGGAAATAAAAGTGCTGAATTTAATTAGCTCTATGTTGTCTATATGATCATCGTCTCATGAAGTCGGAGTCACTTAAGATAATCCGTCAAGTCCTGTCCCAATAAAGACATAACTTCGCATGAATTAAATAATATGCAGCCATGAATGGGCACATGTTGGAAATAAAAGTGCTGAATTTAATTAGCTCTATGTTGTCTATATGATCATCGTCTCATGAAGTCGGAGTCACTTAAGATAATCCGTCAAGTCCTCTCCCAATAAAGACGTAACTTTGCATTAATTAAATAATACAGCCATGAATGAGCGCATGTTGGAAATAAAAACGCTAAATTTAATTCTCTGTCTGTTGTCTATGCTCATCATTAGTCTCGTGAAGCCGCTTTCATATTGCTGTTCACTCACCAGGTTGATGCTCAGGAAATGCTCCAGCACGGCCACAGCATGTAACTTTTAACAAGATTCACTTGTTTAAAACACCCTTAATTGTATTAACATTTACTATATAACCATTATTTCGCTAATAAATATCTAAATAGATACAACTCTATGTAAATTATTTATTATCTCCGCGACTGATCGCAGTTTGAGTATAGTTCTGTGTAAATGCATAGATAAACTGCTCTGTCAGCAGGCATTTCATAATCTAGAACAACAAAACCATTATTAGTAATTCTGATATAACATGCCAGTTGAGAAATGCAATAAAATACGATGTTTTGTCTGTTATATTTCAATATTCCAGAGAATATTACTCAGTGAATCAACATTATCCAGTGAATTATTCTTCACTCTTTAACCTATTAAACAGCTTATAAACCTACTAAAACTGTAGTTTAAAATGAAGTTGTTATGAATCCTTTCCTTTATTTATTTTCTCAATTTGAAAACATTAGACCTTCTACATTTATTTTGCTTATTGTTAATATTAGTGTTGCTGCTGATGCTTTAAATAAAATGTTTTTTTATTGTTGTAATATGAAGATTAAATTTAACATGAAAGACTGCTAATTTTCAACACTTTCTTTTTTTAAAGATGACTGAAAGGAGGAAAAACCAAAGTGAAGCATGGACTTACTTTACTCAGTCATTTATTTACTTCATAACAGTAAATAAATATTGGTTCTGCATATCGGTTATCGGGCACATAAACATGCAAATAATTGGTATCGGTTATAAAATATCAATATCGGTCGATCACTATATGTGTGAATGAGAAATGGCAGAGATACTTATCAAGGAATAACTGAAAATTCCAGTCTGTTTCTCCCACAAATATATTATCTAACCAGTGCTGTTTTGTCAATTAAAACTATTAAAATATTAAACATTAGATTAAGAACTTAAACTTAAAAAATATAAACATAAAAATATTTAAATCTAAAAAATATATATTTTAAAAGAAAATTAAAAATATTGCCATGGTAATAACTGAAATGTTTAAAAAAATGAAATTAAACCTAAAAGTAACAAATTAAAAGCTAATTCTAAATATGAATAAATACTGTAACTGTATAGTAAATAATACTAAAATAATACTGCATCTGATTTCAGAAGAATTGGAATACACCACACTATTGGTACTGACTACTTTTAAGGAGCTTTTTTGTTATTTTTGATACATGACAGCCCTTGCCATCATTCAGTTTAAAACTTCTTCAGTAAAACTTCCTTTGGAAAAAAAACACATCATACACATCACTGGTTTGGAACTACATAAGGGTGAATGAATAATTGTATTATCTAATAATTGTAAAACCAATTATTATCATTATTATTATTGTATTTATTTTTGTATTTTTAGGTTAACCCTAACGAGTATTTTAACGGACACATTGAAATGTAGGAAATAGTTTGCTGTATTTTATAAAGCAAAAGATGTTATAGCAATATGTTACCACGCTGTGGAATTGTCAAACTAACCAACACCAAAACAGGGATGGATGGCACATTTACAGAGTTAAAAGCCTTTAGTTCTAAGAGAAAAGCAAATTGAAAAGGTAATTTATTTAAACCAAATTAACACAATTCTATAAATAAAGATTCATTTATCAAATTAAATTGTAAGAATCTTTTATAATGGTCTTAGCACTTTTTCCACTTAAACAGCCAACAGGGAAACTTCAGATATCTTTTTGCTCCTCGAGATAAATTACTTGATCATCCACATTATGGACTGGACCAAATATATATATATATATATATATATATATATATATATATATATATATATATAATAAAAAAATTATTTTTAAAATATATA